ACACGCACACAAACATGCATTCACACGCAGCATACACACATACACAATGACGCACATACATGTGCACATACGACACACACACGTGTTTCATGCTCACAACCCCACCTCGGGGCAGAAGGGGCCAATTACCTCCCTGACGGAAGGGGAAACTGAGGCTCCGGATGGCACGTGACTCCCTCCAGATGGGGGGCTGGGGTGGCCAAGGGCGAGCCTGGGCGGGCGAGCCGCTGCCCTGCTGTTCCCGTGGCGCCCACCGGGCGGGGCTGTGGCGCCCTCTCTGTGAGCCTCTGGCGTCCGGGCCCAGGCCCTGCCCCAGCCCTCGCCCTGGGCTTGGCCCTGGAGACGACAGGATAGAGCGGGGTTCAGACCCTGGGCCTCACCCCCCAGCAGGCCCGTAGGAGGCCCAGGACCCCCAGGAATGGGTCCCGAGGCCACCAGTGCTGCCTGGACACCTGGCTCCCAGGGGTCAGGCTGCTGCATCCCGGGCCCTGGATGCGAAGGTCTGTGGGTCCCGGGGCCCTGGGAGACGCGGGAGATGAGGGGATGCTGCCATCTCCCCGCCCTCCCCGGGGCCACAGTGGGCCCTGATGGTTGGAGCAGAGCAGGGGGCTGTGCCCCTGGCCGCTCCTCCCACCCAGTTCATGCCCCGCCCCTACCCCCCTGAGCCCCCTCGGGAGCCCCCACTCTGTCAGGCGGCGCCCCAGGAAGGCCTCCCTGGCTTGGGGTGTGACTGGGGACCCCACACTGTGTGAGGCCACCTCTCTGCCCAGGACTCCCTCCCCCAACTGAGCCTGGGAGTGGGCACGGTCGGCTGGTGTAGGAGCACAGAGCCCTTTGTCCTGGCTAAGGGCAGTGGCTGCCAGAGGGAAGGGGTGGGGGGAGAGGGGTCCTGACATACGGTGGCGGGAGGAGATGTGGCTCTGGGTGGTGGCCACACGGTGCAACACACAGATCTTGTCACACAGAGACCCACCCCTGAAACCCGTGTGATCAATGTGGACCAACATCACCCCAACCAGTTTAATAAAAAAACAAAAAAAGAAGCAAGTCCTTGCTGGGCCCGGCGGGAGGGGGTGTGCAGCCCCACTGGGTGGGCAGAGGGAGCAGGCCAGCCGCCCCCCCCCCACCCAGGCTGGGGAGTCATGTGTCCTAAGCCCTGATTACAGATGTGGGAAGTGTGGCTGAGAGGGGCTCCAAGCAAGCGGCCCCTGCCCCCCAGACCCTAGCCTGGAGCAGGACTCCTGCCCTCTGGGCCCAAGGCGGAGCTGGGAGGCCCCAGGTCACTGCTCAGCTGCAGCCTGGTGGGTGGGGGGGACCGCTAAGACCAAGCCACACACTAGAATGGATTCCCCCCAAAGTGTGGGAGCCCTGAGGGCAGGGCCGGGGAGGGGCTGCCAGGAGAGGGCTGACGCTAGGGGCAGGGGAGGCTCCGAGGGGCAGGGAGGGGTCATGTGGAAGTGGGGGGACACAGAGAAAGAACAGGGGCCTAGGCCTGGCTGCAGGGGCCTGTCCCCCCTTTCCTCGGTCCCCCGCTCCCTGCACTGGGACCCCCTCCCTCTGCGACACTCACTCAGCCACTGGTCCCTGGCCCCGGGCCCACAGCCTTTAAGCGGGCGCTGCGCGGGGTGGTGTGGCCTTGGCCGGGTCAGGCCGGTCTGCGTGGGAATTCTAGCTCCTCCGCGGTGACATTAGGTGGCCTTGGAGCCTCCCTGTTCCCTCTGTGACTTGGGAACACAGACCCCTCGGGGCGTGAGGACACCCCCAGAGTGTGTGAGGATGTGGCGTGACTGGCCTGGGGGTGTCTTCGCAGGTCACACGCCTCCTGGGCGCCCCTGGCCGGTGCCTCCTGGAGGAGGGGTGTGGGAGGCGGGTGAGGGGCGCGTGCTGCAAGTGTGGGGTCTGAGCCAGGAGCAGGGGGGACATCCATCTTCGCAGGGCGCCGACTCCTGCCTCAGGCATCGGGGCCTCCAGGAAGCCGGGCGGGCGCCACCGTGACATTTCCTGCTATTAATGGAGCCTAATCCAAACAGGCCCTAATATTTACCCCGCCGCCTCCGGCGCAGAGGGTGCCAGACAGCCAGAGTGATGGGCCTGTCCTAGCGCCCCCCCCCGCCCCCGCTGCGCTTCCCGGGCCCAGGACGCAGACCCGCTGTGTGTGAGGCAGGAACGGGGAGCCGCACACCCGGAGCCTCAGTTCCCCCATCTGTGAAATGGGTTGACAATCCTGACCTCCCAGGCTTATGGGGCGTTTCAGAGGGAGGGAGGACGCGTGGTGCCGCTGTGCGAGCCCACAGTCCCTCCCTCTCCCGGGTGTCCAGTCCGCTAACTGACCCATCCCCCTCCTCCCGCTCCCTCCAGGACATACCTTTGGTGATAAGACACCTGGGCATTCTGGCCGCCCTGCCATGTCCACCTCTCCTCCCTGGGCACTCGTCATTCTGCCCACCTGTGTCCCTACACCAACGACTGTGCCCACACCCTGCCCACACGTCTGCCCCCTGCAGCCCCTCCATCCCCTGCCCTTCACAGAGGCCGGGGACGGCAGAACCAAGAACCCGCGGCCCAGTCTCTCCCGGAGCCGCCTGTGCAGGGACAGTGGGTGCAGGGCTGGTGCGCAGGCCGCCTTCTCAGCCCTCGGCGACCCCTGCCCACCAGCAAAGGGAGTCCGGGCACGAAGGGAATAAACAGGTTTAATTTGGGACGAAGACTTCTCCTCAAGGACACTGTTTACATCAGATATAAATACACATGCCATCTCGCGTCACTCGGGCTTCTGGAAAATCCGGAAGGGAGGCTGCGAGGAGGGCCGGGCGATGCAGAGACCCCCCCCCCCCACCTGCATCCTCCCCCCAACAGGCTGGCCTCTGGGGCGCAGGAGGGAGCAAGCCTCGGTGGATGTGGGGGCCCGGCCCCCAGCCCCTTCCCCTCTAGCTGCCAGGCCCGGAAGAGGAGCGGAGATGGGGAGACTGTGGTCCATCCGCCCAGGGCTGTCCAGGGGCCATCGGGCTGCTTCTCAAAGGCATAGGTGGGCCCATTCCCGCCCTGGCCGGAGGCAGGGGCCACCTCTCAAGGTCGAATGGTGGCGGCTCCCCAAGGCTCTTGCAGTCCCTGAGGAACCAGGTTGGATGGAGGGATTGCAGACCTGGGGACCAGAGGCACATGGAGGCAATCCTGGAGGCCAGGTCAGAGGAGGCGATCAGAAGCTCAAGCCAGAGCCCGCCGGCGTGGCTCAGGGGTTGAGCGTCAAGCTATGACCCAGGAGGTCACGGATCGATTCCTGGTCAGGGCACATGCCCGGGTGGCGGGCTCGATCCCCAGTGTGGGGTGTGCAGGAGGCAGCTGATCAGTGATTGATGGATGCTCTATCATCATGGATGTTTCTCTCTCCCTCTCCCTCTCCCTTCCTCTCTGACATCAATAAAGACAAATTTTAAAAAGAAGCTCCAGCCAGAGAAATGCTCCCTCCCCAGAAAGAGCGGGAGCCAGGGTGAGCCGGGGTGGGCAGCTGGGCAGCGCCCCTCTGCCCGGGACGTGCAGGAGGCCTGCATCCGGGGCCTGTGTGTCTTTGCTCTCGGGTTTCTCGTCCATAGGATGGGCCGGAGCTCCGCCGTCCTCCCGGGACAGTGGGCAGGCCTCTGCGGCCACTCCCGGGCTGGCTTTTGGGAAGGGCTTGTGCTGTCTCTCGGGGCAGCACGCGGTGCGGGAGGGAAGTGGGACTGGGTTTTCGAGTCGGACCTGGCTTCTCCTCGCGTGCACCGCACTTTGCTGGGTGAAC